GTGAGGTTATCCACTTTGGTAGCAAAAACAGAAAGGCAGATTATTATCTAAATGGCGACAGATTGGGAGAAGGGGAGATGCAACAAGACTTGGTGTCCTTGAACAAGTTGCTGAGGGTAAGCATGCAGGAGTAGCAGACGACGAAAAAGCCAAATGGTATGTTGGATTCATAGCAAGAGGATTTGAGTACATGAACAGAGATGTTTTGCTGCAATTGTACAGGTCCTTTGTGAAACTACACCTGGAGTGTTGTATGCAGTCTTGGTCTCCTTATCAATGGAAGGATGTTCTGGCTATGGAGGAAGTGTAACAAAGGTTTACCAGACTGATCAGAGTCCTAGAGTCACAGAGTCCTACAGCATGGAGACAGGCCCTTTGGCCCAAACTGGTCCATGCCAACCAAAACATCCATCCACGCTAACCCCATTTCCCTGCACTTGGCCCATATCCTTTTAAATCTTTCCTATCCATGTATTTGCCCAAATACTTTTGAAATGTTGTTAACGTACCCACCTTAACCACTTCAGCTGGCAGCTCATTCCACATGTGTACCACCCTCTGTGTAAAAAAGTTGCCCCTCAGGTTCCCATGTATTTTTTCCCTTTTACCTTGGACTGATGTCCTCAACTCATGGGATGGAAGGACTGCCATATGAAACAGAGACTGGCTGGTTAGGACTATATTTACTGGAGTTTAGAAGAATGAACAAGGATCTCAAAGAAACCTATAACATTTTAACAGGATTAAATGCAGGAAGGATATTTTTGATGACTGGGAAGTCCAGAACCAGGGGTCACAGTCTAAGGATACAGGGTAGGCCATTTAAGATTGAGATGAGGAGAAATATCATCATCCAGAGAGTGGTGAGCCTGTGGAATTCTCTGCCACAGAACGTGATTGAAGTCAAAACATTGAACATTTTCAGGAAGAAGTTAGATGTAGTTTTTAGGGTTAAATGAATCTCAGAGTATGGGGAGAAAGTGCAACAGGGGACTGAATTTGATGATTAGCCATGATCATACTGAATGGCAGAGCAGGCTTCAAAGGGCTGAAAGGCCTACTCCTGCTCTTAATTTCAATGTTTCTATGTTTTCTACCTGGTTAATCACCTAAATACTCAGATAATCCAGTCTCATGTGAGAAATGGCTCTTCTAACTTTGCAGCGGTCCTTCAATACTGCACTGGGATGCCACCTTAGAAACTACAGTCAAAACCTTATACAGCAATTTGGAATGCTATCAAGCAGCCCAGGCTGTCGCCATCATTTACAATGATTTAAATTTTATAACTAAACTATACGTTTAAAAACTTTAGTTCCAAAATCTGCTTTATTAAAAAGTCTATTATTTGTATATTGTGAATCTTTGGACCTCTCTTAAAGTGAAATTGAAGTCCCCCATATTGAATGGTGGGACAGGCTCAACAAGCTGTCTTGTCTAATCCTGCTAATACAGTCATAGAAGAGGCCCTTCAGCCCATTGAGTCTGCACAAACATATCCAACACACACACATAGACACACACAGACACACATACACACACACATGCGCGCACACACTCACACGCACACACTCACACGCACACACTCACGCCCACATGCACACAGACACAGACACACACACACACACAAAAACACACACACACACACCCACATGCACACAGACACACACACACACACACACACATGCACACAGACACAGACACACACACACACATGCCCACATGCACACAGACACAGACACACACACACACACACACACACACACACAAAAACACACACAGTATTACAGTGAATCACGAAAGGCACCCACCCAACATGGCAACCAGGTGAACTGAACCACTTTTAGATTCAGATAGGACAGGTGTTGTCTGGGTGGGGGGGTGGGGTGTGGTGGGTTCAGGAGCAGGAACAAATTGGCAATAGGCTGGAGGATTTTTGTACGGCCCTGAGGAGAACTCATGCTATTTCTGATCCCACAGAAACTCTAAAGGTTTTTCATGAGGTAATAAGGAAGGTTGATGAGGGTAATGCAGTTAATGATTTTTATGTGGACTTTCAAAAGGCATTTGATGAAATACCATATAATAAACTTGCATTAAAGATGGAGCCCATGGAATAAAAGGGAATAAAAGCAGGGATATAAAGTTGGCAAAGTGACAGAAAACAGAAAGTCGCGATGAACTGTTGTTTGTTGGACTGGAGCGGGGTTATACAGTGGAGTTCCCTAGTGGTCAGTATTAGGATCACTGCTTTTCTTGATTTATATTAATAACATAAACTTGGATGTATAGGATAGAATTGTGAAATTTGTAGATAACACAAGGCTTGCAGGTATTGTGAAAGACTTCAAGAGAACGCAAGCAGACTGGTGGAATGTACATACTCATGGAAGATGAAATGTAACAATGAGAATGTGCAGTCTTACATTTTGGTAGGAAGAATGAAGAAACACAAAATAAAGGGAGCACTTCTAAAGCAGGTGCAGAATCAGAGGGTCTTGGGGGGCTACATGCATTCAATCTACACATTGCAAAGCAACTACACTCCAGAAGTACGCTGAGATATCTAGTGGTCATGAGAAGTACAAAATAAATGCAACTTTTTCTTTTTCTCAAACTGTCTTCTCAAAGCATTTGAAGGTGGCGCGGCAGATTGAGAAAATGGTTAAAGACGTATAAAGATTCCAGGGCTTTAGAAATAAAGACATGGAATAAAAGCAAAGAAGCACTTTCAGGAAACTCTGACCCAGCCTCAGTTGGAGTACTGTGGGCAATTCTGGGCAATGCACTTTAGGAAGGCTTTAGGGCAAAAGTTAGGAGACTGGCTTCAGGTAGGTAAGACTTTGGTTACAAAGATAGATTACAGGAACAAGGGCTATTCTCTTTCAGGAGGTTAAGAGGAGCTTTGATAGAGCTGGTAAAATGAAGAAGCTCTAGACAGAAAGACAAAAAGCTGTTATCCTTGGTAGAAGGGTCAAAAACCAGAGGACATTGATATAAAACAAATGACCAAAGAATTAATAGCGACACAAATTAAAACTCTTCACACAGAAAGTGAATAGGATCAGGAATGCGCTGCCTAAGAGAATGGTGGGGATAGATATAATCAGGGCTTTTGAAAGCAATTGAATAAGCACCTGCAAAGGACAGATTGCAGAGTAGCACAGAGAATACAGGAGGTCAGAGAGAGTGAGTAACTGAGTTGGTCTTGCAAAGAACTGGTTCAAACTTAACAGGCTGTGCTGTAACAATTCAATTATTCTGTATGATAATCCCAAAAGGAGATCTAGTCAAGATACTTTAAAAAATATGATGGGCAAATAGGGAAAAACTCCTTCACCTTGATTGTGATGAGAGGCTTAGATAGATTGGAAGATGATGAGGGCATAGCCAGAGACTTTTTCCCAGGGTGAAAATATTTTAAAGTGAGTGGAGGAAGGTATAGGAGAGATGTCAGAGTTAGGTTCTTTACACAGAGTGCAGTGGGTGTGTGGAATGTGCTGCCAGAGGTGGTAGTAGAGTCAGATACATTAGGGACATTTAAGTGACTCTTGGATAGGCACATGGTTGATAGTAAAATGTAGGGTGTGCAGAGTAGTTTGATCTTAGAGTAGGATAATAAGTCGGCACAACATCGTGGACAACAAAGGGCCTGTACTGTTCTTTGTTCTATCTCGATTGTGTTGGTCAGTAAGCAGCGGTCATAAGTTTTAAATTATTGGTAAATTAGGGAAAATGAGGAAATATTCTCTACAGCTACCACCCTACCCCTGCCGAGGGTAGTTAACATATGATAACATGGTAGAATAGGATTCCATAGGAATTTTCAAAAGGTATTGAGGTATATTCAAAGTGGGTTAGTTTGCAGGATTATGGTGGGAGGTGAGAGACAAACTGGACAGTTTTTTCAAAGAGTTGACACAGCCATGATGAGCCAAACAGCTCCTTCAATTCTTCTATAAATTCTAGTCATGAATCCTGATTCCTTGCTTTAAATTATGCAATATCAATAGTACTTCACAGAGCTGACCATTGTCATTAAGTTGCTATCAATAGGGAGATGGGCCATATTATTAACAGCCATCCCACTGTCTCAAATAGTGGTTCCGATAACTATGTTGATTTAACAATTTGGAATTGTAAATTTAAAAAAATACTTGTGAAAGAAGTGCGTAGAAAAGATTACATGGAAAGGCCAGGGAAGTTTGACTGCACTGGACTAGCTTTGTTTGAAGACTTGACATTGGCATAGGAACAATGAACTGCACGGCTTCCTGTGAGTATTTTGTTTATGGGGGTAACTTTAAACTGACCCCGCAGGCAGGAAACCTCAAGGTTCAAGTAGATTGTCAGTTTTACAACTTCGTCCATTCCATTAATGCCAATGATAAAACCCAAGACAGTGAAATAGGCAACCCTCTACAATCATAGAATCCCTACAGGGTGGAAACAGGCCCTTTGGCCCGACAAGTCCACACCGACCCTCAGAGCATCCCACCCAGACCCATCCCTGTATAACCCACCTGATCTACACATCCCTGGACACTATGGGCAATTTAGCATGGCCATTCCTCCAGCCTGCACATCTTCTGACTGTGGGAGGAAACCCACACATACATGGGGAGAATGTGCAAACTCCACACAGGCAGTTGCCCAAGGGTGGAATCGAGCCTGGGTCCCTGGCAGTGTGATGCAGCAGGGCTAACCACTGAGCCACCATATCACCCAGGCCTTTTGCAATAAGATGGAGGAAAACAGGAAGGGTACTGGAGAAGGTCAGACAACTGTAATGTATACAAATTTGGTGTTAGTGACTCAGCAAGCCCTATTGGGCTCTGCCAATTTTGTTTTTCTTTTGGTGGAATTTAATCCCAAGGAATTTTCCATAATGTTGGGTTGAGATTCTTCAGTTCTTTACCCTTGCAAGTCAGGCTTTTTTTTTCTAGGTTTTGAGTTTATACAAATTCTGAAGATCTAATGATTTTCACTTTGTTGTCCAGGTATCATTTCTAGTGCGTATAATTCCCAGTCCAGATTGGTTTCTTGGAGCTAACGGCATCAACCTATGTGAGAATAATAATTGGAAAGAATCCTATAACTTGGATCTATTTCCTTGGGATGCTGGGACAGACAGCGGATTTACATTTTCATCTCCAAACTTCGCCACCAACCCTCAGGAGACTATATCGCAAATAACCGCAAAACATCCATCCCATCCTGCCAATTCTTTCTACTACCCACGTCTGGAAACGTTACCCAGAATGGGCCTCTCAGAGTTCGTTCTGCAGCCCACAGTATTACCCAGTCAGGCACCGGACAAAGGACCTGAGCAAATAGAACCAACCCCAGGAACAACACAAAACTGGACAGAACTTCCACAAATCAACTGGACATACACTGAGAGTGGGACGAAGATGGAAGTTGGACTCAAGGCTGAGGATGTCGTCAATGATGTGCTTGAAAAGCCATCGGGAAAGGAACCTGGAAGTAGGTACAACATATGTAGAAAGAGTAAACTGGTAATCATGGACAACATTCAAGGTGTATAAGAGTAGGGAGGTCTTACCACGGCTGTACAAGGTGCTGTTCTGATGAGACCACATCTGGAGTATTGTGAGTAGTTCTGATCGCCTTATTTCAGATAATACATTATTCTGTTGGAGGCAGTTCACAGAAAGGTTAACTAGGATCCATCCCGGGATGGAAGGATTTTGTTATAAGCAAAGGCTAAACAGCTTGAAAATCTATTCATTGGGGTTTAGAAGAATGAGAGGTGATCTCATTGAAACATTCGGGATTCTTAAGGGGCTTGACAGGGTAAGTGCTGAGAAGATGTTTCTCCTCATGGAGAGTTTAGGACCAGAGGACACAGTCTCAGAATTAAGGGACACCAATGTAAGACTGAGATGAGGTTGTGGGTCTTTGGAACGCCTTGTTATAGAGAGCTGTGGGGGCAGAGTCCCAGTATATATTTAAAGCTGAGGTAGATGGATTCTTGATCAGTCAGGGATTCAAGGGTTATGGAGAAAACGCAGGAAAGTAGACACATAGAATGTCAGATCAGCCATGATCCTTTTGAATGGTGAAGGAGGCTTGAGGGGCTGAATGGCCTACTGCTGTTTCTATTTCTTATGGTCTAGGTCCATTAATTGATGAGTTGATGGCCTAGTGGTATTATTTCTAGACTATTAATCCAGACACCCAGGTCCCATTCTGGGAGATCAGGGTTCAAATCCCACCATGGCAAGTGATGGAATTTGAATTCAATAAACATCTGGGATTAAGAGTCTAATGATGACGTTGATTTGAGAAAACCCATCTGGTTCACTCATACCTTTTAGAGAAGGAAACTTGTCCTTTCCTGGCCTGGCCTACATGTGACTCCAGACCCACATTATGATTCTTAACTGTCCTTTGGACAATTAGGGATGGGCTATTAGAGCTGGCCTGGCCAGTGAGGCCCATGTTCTGTAAATAATTTTTTTTATTAAATAGGCAGATCACCACCTTCTCCATTTGATTAGATCCTGGCCTATCTGCTTCTCAACTCCATTGATCTACCTTAACATTATCTCCCTTGGTATCCTTAACCAAACAAAAGTCTATCACAGTTTTGAATGTTTCAATATCTCAGGATCCATAGCCTTTTTTGGGATGGATGGAGTGGGCAGAAGTCGTGTGTGGAGAGAATCACAAAATTCATGCTCCTCTCTGTGAAAAAATTTCTTCCTGATTTTGCTCCAGAACAGCCTGGTTCTAATTTAAAGATTACTCCTCTTTATTCTTAATCCACCTCATCAGGGTAAATAGTTTCTCCATATCTACCATGTTGGATTAATTGAATATTTCAAATACCTCAATCAGACCACCCGGTCAATTTGAAAGTATAAGATAAACTGGTGCAATCAGTCCTTATAATTTACCCTCAATGCTTCTGAAGGACTTCAATTTTCTCTATTCCTTGGATCTTTCCCTGCTGTTAGTCTGCTGGATTTTGCCACACTCCTTAGGAAGTGATGAAGTAGGAGCAGCTCCAAGGAATTCTCTGGCAGAACTGTTTTGTGCCAGGAGTCAACTCATAACTTTTCATTTATTTTATTTTCGGGAGGTGGTTTAAGGCACCCCTGGTGCAAATCCTACCCACTGGGATCACAAATTGGAAATGCAGGCACAGGATTCCTAAAATTTTCTGTTTGTTAAGTTTTGAATCAGGAGAGTCAACGATTAAGATTATTCTATTGACCGTTAGAGGACATAGGCCTTGATTTTGGGACTCTTTGCCTCCTTTTCTCAGACCATTGACTATAGGAGTTGGGACATCATGTTGAGGTTGTACAGGATGTTGGTGAGGCCACTTCTGGAGTACTGTGTCCAGTTCTGGTTGCCCTGTTAGAGGAAGGGTATTGTTAGTAATTATTTACCAAAATTCACTGGACTCTGGGGTGGTTCCCGAAGATTGGAAAACAGCCTATGTGACGCCACTGTTTAAAAAAGGAAGTAGACAAAAAGCAGGTAACTATAGGCCAGTTAGCTTAACTTGGGTAGTGGGGAAAATGCTTGAATCTATCATTAAGGAAGAAATAGCAAGACATCTGGATATAAATTGTCCCATTGGGAACACCCAGCATGGGTTCATGAAGGGTAGGTCATGTTTAACTAATTTGGTGGAATTCTTTGAGGACATTACTTGCATGGTGGACAATGGGAAACCTGTGGATGTGGTGTATCTGGATTTCCAGAAGGCATTTGACAAGGTGCCACACCAGAGGCTGCTACATAAGATAAAGTTGCACAGTATTACAGGCAATGTATTGGCATGGATAGAGGATTGGTTGACCAGCAGAAAGCAAAGAGTAGGGGTAAATGGGTGTTTTTCTGGTTGGCGGTCAGTGGCTACTGGTGTCCCTCAGGGATCAGTGTTGGGACCGCAATTGTTTACAATTTACATAGATGATTTGGAGTTGGGGACTAAGTGTGGTGTGTCAAAATTTGCAGATGACACTAAGGTGAGTGGTAGAGGAAAGTGTGCAGAAGACACTGAAACTCTGCAGAGGGATATAGATAGTCTAAGTGAGTGGGCAAAGGTCTGGCAGAGGGAGTACTATGTTGATAAGTGTGAGGTCATCCATTTTGGTAGGAATAACAGCAAAATGGACTATGGTTTAAATGGTAAAAAATTGCAGCACGCTGCTGTGCAGAGGGACTTGGGTGTCCTTGTGCATGAATCGCTGAAGGTGGGATTGCAGGTGCAGCAGGTAATTAAAAAGGCAAATGGAATTTTGTCTGCCATTGCTAGAGGGATGGAGTTTAAAAACAGGGAGGCTATGCTGCAGCTGTATAGGGCCCTGGTGAGGCCACACCTGGAGTACTGTGTGCAGTTTTGGTCTCCTTACTTGAGAAGAGATATACTAGCACTGGAGGGGGTGCAGAGGAGATTTACTCGGTTGATTCCAGAGTTGAGAGGGTTGGATTATGAGGAGAGACTGAGTAAACTGGGATTATACTCATTGGAATTCAGAAGAATGAGGGGAGATCTTATAGAAACATTTAAGATTATGAAGGGAATAGATAAGGTGGAGGCAGGGAGGTTATTTCCGCTAGCAGGTGAAACTAGGAGTAGAGGGCATGGCCTCAAAATAAAGGGAAGCAGATGTAGGACTGAGGTCAGGAGGAACTTCTTCATCCAAAAGGTTGTGAATCTGTGGAATTCTCTGCCCAGTGAAGCGGTTGAAGCTACCTCGCTGAATGTTTTTAAGGCAAGGCTAGATAAATTTTTGAACAGTAAAGGAATTAAGGGTTATGGTGAGT